AAAGTGAAAAAATCCACTGCAAAAGATTGGTTATCCAAACAAGCTATATGGCAAATTTATCTACCACCGCCTAAACAAATTAATTATTCTCATTTTGATGTTACCGTACCCAATGAAGTTCATCAGGCTGATTTATTGTTTTTACCACATGACCATGGTTACAAATACGCGCTAACTGTAGTTGATATTGCGAGTCGATTTAAACAAGCAGAACCATTGAAAACAAAGTCAGCTTCTGAAGTCGCTTCTGCATTTGAAAGGATTTATCGACGAGGTCCTCTAAGATGGCCAAATCTATTACAAGTTGATCCTGGCAAAGAGTTTCAAGGTGCTGTTCTATCAACAATGAAAACTCATAGTGTTACAATACGACGGGGACATACTGCGTTACATCGTGATCAGGCAATTGTAGAACGATTTAATCGAACTCTTGCAGAACGGTTATTTGGATATCAATATGCAAAAGAATTCATCCAAGAAAAACGATCTCGTGAATGGGTCCAAAGGTTACCGAGTGTAGTTGCAGCGTTAAATAACGAGATTACTGCAAATAAAATAATGGTTAAGGTCAAAGTCAAATAGTGTCATCTGCATGCATTGAGGAGGACATGTTGATTCTACTGAAGTTATATTCTGGAAGAAAAAAAATTTCTCAGATTATTAGCTCAGATATACCATGGATGTTTCTGAGTTTTTGTTTTGCTTTAGTTTGTGGAATTAATAGCACTTGGCTTGGTATACGACTGCAAAATTTTATTTTGCATGGACTGAATTTTGTTTATCCAAATATTTACAAGAATTCCCTTTCATTGAAAAATAAAGTTGTCATAAACAACGCATATAATTCTCTTTTTGGTAAATGGATTTTGAAATATTTCGCACACACGTCTTTTGTGTACATAAGTTGCATATTTAGATAACATCATTCTTTATCAATATATATATATATATATATATATATATATATATATATATATATATATATATATATATATATATATATATATATATATATATATATATATATATATATCTTTATATATATATAGATATAGATAGAGATATAGATATAGATAGATATATATATATATATATATATATATATATATATATATATATATATATATATATATAATTATCAGTAGTTCTGTACGAAACATGCATAAAGTGCTACAAAATACAACACTGACAAGATTTTCTTCATGATTATTTTTTTGCTACCGTTATCTTTACGAGTACAACATCTATAGTTTTGGACTCCGCGGAAGAAATATCTCGCCAAGAGCAACAATATTGGAGAGGTAATGACGAAATGAGACGTCGACTAAAATAAATGAATGTAACATACAATGCGCATTGAGACGTCCAACAAAATCACGCAGATATAACACCCAATACAAATTTTATTGACGATTGATGGTTCATGTTCGTATTTTACCATAATAATGGGGCTTTAAAGAGACATACTGCATCTGGACAGCAATATTCCTCTGGTCTAATGCCATGAATTCAGATTGAACTCCAACACACACACACACACACACACACACACACACATACATACATACATACATACATACATACATACATACATACATACATACATACATACATACATACATACATACATACATACATACATACATACATACATACATACATACATACATACATACATACATACATACATACATACATACATACATACATACATACATACATACATACATACATACATTAGCTGAACAATTTAATACACACATGAAACTCACATTTGAACACGCACTTGCCCGCTCACGCTTTGAGCAATTGAATACACGATGCTACCAAAACGGCAAAACTCTACAAAATTAAAAATGTCAAACCCGATGAAAATAAAGAAACATTCAGAAAAGTATTAAGGTTACCCAAAGCAAAGTAAATAACTATGCATTTTTGACTTCATTGCTAATTTATGTAGCGAATAATTGTCTGCATGAGGATTAATTTAACAAATAAAACATATTTCTTTGCAATGAACATTTGGATTGGTAAGGGTTATGGATTAGGAACGAAGAAGCCTATCGTAGAAATGTGATAAATCGTTCAAAAGTAAATGAGAACAAGGTGAGGCAAAGAATAACTAGTAATTATCATTTCCAACGGTCAATGATATTTGTTGAGGAAATTAGCTTCTGCTCCAAGAACTCCATATCTGTCGATAATATTCCGCCCACTTGCGTAATATCCGACAATCGTGAAAGATAGTAAAGTCGATTACAAATCTGTAGAATACGATTAATTTATGTGAGGCAGTTCAATCTATTTTTCAAGTGATATCTTTACATTTTTTTAGGAGATCTGTCCTACATTTTCCAATTTATTTTTCAAGAAACATCTTTACATTTTGTTTATGTGTTCTGACTATATTTTTATTGTATACAAGTTCGTTTGCTATTTAATATATAATTTAGAAATATACAGTGCTTATGCGGCATACTAAATGGGACAACGAGTTTTATTTTTAAAAACGAATAAGTAAGCTTATGTTTACATTATACACATATATTCGTGACAAAATCTATTCCATCATTAAAAGAAGAAAAAAAAAATTGGATACTCAATGTTTAAAAAACCTGGAGTCCCATAGTAACAGAATCAAAACCTGCTTGTATGTAATTCATATTATTGACATACTGTTGCATATCGTTGTAGACTAGAAGCATTAAGTTTAAGTTTTTACCTAATTTTGCAAGCTCTGTTCTATATCATTATATATATATATATATATATATATATATATATATATATATATATATATATATATATATATATATAATAGGATGTTGACATTTATTTCAAACTTATTGCAAAATTCATCTATATTAATCCATTAACAATTTTTATTACATAAATAATTTGCGTGCAAAATACCCTTTTTTACCCGATGCTTCTACATAAATCAAGGGGAATTTTCAATATAAAACTATCTGGCATACTTAATTATAAAGATACCTTGGTGATCTATGTGTCAATATACACAGAATTTTGAAGTCTATTAGGAGGTGTTGTTGTTTTATGTATATCTCCATGGGTAATATTTTGTTTTACGTTATAACGGTCAATAGAACAGGATGAGATTATTGGATGTACTTTTATTTTCAATATTTATTTGCATACACTGATTTGCTTAGTAATTCTAGAGAAAAGAACCTCCATATATTATATGGAAAGATTTATATTATTCTAGCTATAGTTAAATTATTTAAATTCGTTATTAAAAATTCAGAAGATCTAATCAAGTAGCTGCTACACAAATGAGGAAGTTAGAGTTGAAAGAATATATCATCTAATCTTATTGTGTAATATACCATTAGGTAGGACATTTTCACCAGTACACTCCTGACAAATAGTATACCTTAACTTCTACCATTACCCATTCTCAAGTTCCGTGGACACATTCGCGATAACATGTACGTACGAATAACGTACGTACATACATATGTATGTATGTATGTATGTATGTATGTATGTATGTATGTATGTATGTATGTATGTATGTATGTATGTATGTATGTATGTATGTATGTATGTATGAATGTATGTATGTATGTATGTATGTATGTATGTATGTATGTATGTATGTATGTATGTATGTATGTATGTATGTATGTATGTATGTATGTATGTATGTATGTATGTACTCATTCACGCACGCTCGCACGCACACGCACACACACATACATACATACATACATGCATGCATGCATGCATGCATGCATGCATGCATGCATGCATGCATACATACATACATACATACATACATACATACATACATACATACATACATACATACATACATACATACATACATACATACATACATACATACATACATACATACATACATACATACATACATACATACATACATACATACATACATACATACATACATACATACATACTTGTTTGGGGTGTCTTTAAATTGGGTTTTTATAAAGGATAAATAACTTGACCACGAATTATTAGATTAATTACATATCATTTCAGCACAGGTCATAGATTGTTAACCAGACATTGCATCATAAATCTTGTTATGATGGCAACGATTAAAACAATTAGACGGGAAACGTATTGAATCGTAACATGGAAGATATGAGATTTACTCACTAATATTGTGCCGTGTTATAGCAGCATGTTCTACGTAAAAGCCATCTCAGCCAGACAGGAAATGTAGAAGAAACATCCCTTACCTGTATTCATTGTTACTCAGTTAAAAATTAAAACTTTTTTCGATTTACATTTTAAATACAATTTTATTATACAGACGTTTCAACTTTTTCCAAAACATATGTCCCCTATATCTTATGTATACAAGTTGTTTTATTGTTAAGAAACGTGTGATTTATTGATTAGACGGGAAAGGAAGAAATCATAAGTAAACTGTAATGATCGAGGCTCAGTAAAACATTAAACTTTTTTAATTTCCATATTTAATAAATTTTGAATGCACCAAGGTTTCTACAATTGTCAAGCTTGTATTTAGCCATATATATTTTTAATAAATAAATTTTCATTTTTATTAAAATCTGTGATTTATTGATATTTAATCAGCCAGGTAAAAGTATAAATATATGGTTAACACATTATTATTTTAATTTTTACGCAATTATTTTGCTATAAACCAATTTTAACAACAAAAAAGATAGATCCATATCTTACTAATCTAATTAAATAAGGGTTTAAAATTTATGTGAATTAGTTGCCTTCATGTGATGTGATGTGATTATGATTTTTAACGTAGATTTAAAAAAACATTCAGTCATATCGTTACGATGTTTGCAGTGTGGAAGTTTATAGTGTTGTCTTGCTCTGAGGCATCATGTCGCAGACATGTAGAATGATGTCCCACCAAGTCACATTATCCTGACACCAGGCCAACTAATCCTAACACTAACCTCTTAATGCTGTGGGCCAAGCGAGGCAGCTGTTAGTACCATTTTTGTAAGTCTTTGGTATGACTCGGCCGGGTATCTAACCCACGACCTTCCGCATCCGAGGCGAACTTTCTAACCACTAGGCTACCGGAGCGTTTTTTTTTTTTTTTTGCCTTTATGAATACATTCTTATAGGAAGACATTAGGCGCTCGGACAGACATAAACGATGACTTAAATAATAAGATACATACGTATATTATATAATGTTATATAGCTTGAATTATTTCCTTTAAATCTGTAGCATGAGCAAAACGGCAAGAAGAGATGCATGTAGCAAAGATATGAAGATCGCAGAAGTAGCAAGCGATACTGAGTCACAGTTACTAACTTTTTAATTTGCATTTGTACACATTTATATTGTCACAGACCGATTCAGACTGTTGAGAAACATATTAAGTGATATTATATTTGACAAAATCGGTTGTTGTTTACGATTGTAGGATTTATTTGCCTATATTGAAAACGTTCCTACAGGAAGGCATTAGGCGCACGGACAGACAAGTGAAGACCTACTTAATAAGATACATACATATTATATAATCTTGTATAGCTTTAATTATGTGCTTCAAATCTAATTTATTAGCATAGAGATATGTAGCACCATCGCAAAAAGTCACACTGTACGTACGCTCATACTTAAAACAATAAGAAAGAAGGAAGGATTGAATGAATGAATGATATTTTATTAACAACTCCTGACTTTGATATGTGTTTTTGCTAGAATTGGGCAAAAACCGAAACTATTTGATCTTTCAAGAACGGAAAGCTAATGTCATTACTTCATTCAATAGATAAGAAATGCTATCTTTTTAAACATGACATGAAACGTCAAAACTACTGATTATCTCTACATTATAAAGTAATGTTTCCCGTTGATCCAAATTAAAGTGGATATTCGCTAACTGTCTGTTGAGTCGTGTCATTAAGAATGTATTCCACATCATGGCAGATGTAATCTTTGTGAGAAAACGATAACGGTGATGAATACAACGTTCAACTGCTCATTCTTTTCAAAGTGAAAGATCTGAATTGTTAGAAAGTATTTCGAGAAACTAAAAACTACTTGAACTTAATATTTCTACACTGATGTGCCAAAATTATTCGATATTATAATGAAGAATTCGGCACCACTGAGACTATAGCAAAAGTGATATCACGAGTTTTCAACTCCTTTTCATTCAGTAGTATACGCATCACTTACTTGAACTTATTTTGTTAAAGAAACACTTTATTATCTAAATAAATATGTAATAGTTTTGTTCTACAGGATGAATTCACTATTCATTTGACATATTCAAATAATGAAGTTTCCGATTAAGGGAATGTTATGGTTGAACTTTTAAAATATTGGTTTCAATGATACGTTTCTCTTACTCCAATAGTTGTATTCAAATACACATATACAGGTTATGTATTGTATTATAAAAGTACTACATATTTAACATCTTTACAAAACAGTTTTTTAACAATGATGAATTAATGTTTTTAGTGTGTGGTCTGAGATGTCTAGAAAAGAATAAAATCGTTGTTCTGCTCTTTGCCGATTCGTACTAAAACGGACAAATGCGACGATCAACGAAAATTAGAGGGATAATCATTCCGTTTACACACACACACACACACACACATACACACACATACACCTGCTGGATGCATGGCTTTTTGAAATTATATCACATCATGGGAGATAGTGTAATCTTTGTGAAAATTACTTTTTCAATCCTCGTCTCTAACAGGTCTAGTAACGTTTTGGATACTCAATCTACACTTTTAGAGGGAAACATAGAAATTGATATGTATTCTAAACCTAATGACCCTTAACAGTATCTACTCCCAACCATCTGTCACCTGCAAAACGCAAAAATTCTACTTCACGGTATGTGAGTTCGTACCAAGCGTATCTGCTCTAATCCCACTATTATTGCCCATCGAGACTGGGAGATCGCATGGGTCACCTTGGAAGGAGATGATATCACATCATGGGAGATAGTGTAATATTTGTGAAAATTACTTTTTCAATCCTCGTCTCTAACAGGTCTAGTAACGTTTTGGATACTCAATCTACACTTTTAGAGAGGAACATAGAAATTGATATGTATTCTAAACCTAATGACTCTTAACAGTATCTACTCCCAACCATCTGCCACCTGCAAAACTCAAAACTTCTACTTCACGGTATGTGAGTTCGTACCAAGCGGATCTGCTCTAATCCCACTATTATTGCCCATCGAGACTGAGAGATCGCATGGGTCACCTTGGAAGGAGATGATACTGAAGGACCTACATTAAAGAACCCACTAACAAAACAACTAAATTCCTTGCCAGAGGAGCCCTCGTAAAATATAAAAGCAAGAAAACAAGCAAGGGTGTCCACTTTGTAGTGTAGTAACATTCCACCACCCCGATGCTTGGTCCCAATCCTACAACAGATTATTCTGATGCACTGGCAAAAAATAGAATCGTCCGAACAGTTTGATATTTCTGTAAGTTCCTATGGCTGCGTACCGTTGACCTAAACGTCTCATGAACCCTATGGTACGTGCCCAATAATTTCAAAGAAGGCCACATATTACGGCACGTACCTCTGAAAAGACAAGTCTTGTTTAATTTGCAAACATATGCCCGAGACAGAATGGTTTAGAAGTCGGACAAATGGAGGTTGCTATGCGATCCATCAGAATTTAGGCGTGGAGCCGAAACAGTCATTTATCTTCTGACATGCAATATCCGTGTCACTCAACACGTTGGCGAACCGCTGATTTCAGAACAAAACGAATATATTCATGGAAGCCACATTCACAACATAATCATGGCGAAAGTCGTCAACCACTACAACGTAATGGACTTTCAGCAGAGTTCATAGAGATGCTATAAACTGAATCAAACTTGGGGTTGGCCGACATAGAGGTTAGGGACGATAATTGATAATTGAATTGGAATCTCATGGGCAGTTTGGCCTAAATGATAACAATCTAAGCTTCCCGTTGCTGTCTTATCAAAACTATAGCCAGTCATCATTTTTTTTTCACCCAGACCCATCTTTTTTGATGATTTTTACCCACGTGGTTAGATTTATTATTATTATTATTATTATTATTATTATTATTATTATTATTATTATTATTATTATTATTATTATTATTATTAACCATTGTCTGCTATACCATTCTCTTGACAAATATCATTTAGAACATATACGAATACTTCTACTGAGATATTATTTCTTGAGTAAGCTCTGTAGAAGGCATTGCTTGTTCATCATGCTGTTTTTCAGTGCTATTTTCACAACCTGGAATTAGGTCAAGACATGTTGCTTCTCTGTGATAAATACAATAACTCGCTTATTTGTTATTTTTTATAACTTTTGTTATTTTTATTTTTCTTGCTTGAAATTGTCCCAAAGTGGTTGAAGCATGTAACAGTATATGCTGTGTTTCTAAGATTTTGTGTAGAACATATGTTTATTCCCATAATGAAGAGTGATTGTTTAGCTCACAACGTAGGAAACCATTTTGAATTTGCACCGTTAAAATTTTTCGTGTCAACATATATATTATATATGCAATTAATTAGCTTTGATTTACAGAAGTGTGTGTCTGTATGTGTGTGAAATTAAGTTGCTTTGAATGACTTAAATCTATACCCAAAAGGTCCTAAGAAGTATACAGGTTTCGTTAACTGTAATACTTAAATATTCTTATAGTCGGAATGCATCTCGTTGCTTATTTTCTGTGATGTGTTCTATACTTGAACTTTTTGCAAGGATATCTTTGTTTCTGTCTACAAGTTTCCGAAACTTCTTATCTGTCCTTTCAATATACTGACAAAGACACATGTAATCAGCTTTATGTCGATCCTCCTTTGGATTGTTCATCTTTCCTTTTAACGCCAGTCTCAAATACTCATGTGCGTATTTCAGTAACAACGTCATAGCCACATTCTGAAATTAAAAAGACCTGAAATATATAACACATTTTAAAAAGGATATTTTATCTATAAGATATTTTCTTCTAAATTATATGATCTATGGACTCTGCAATATTCATTTTATTAAACATCTCGACGATTCACTTCTTCACCGCATGAACGTGTAACAGGTGTGCAAGTTTCTTCGAGTATAGAAATAAATCTAAAAGTTTAGAAACGTATTTATTCTAAATTCCGTTATTGATGTTGCTGGATCACGCTTTCCAGTATGTATTCTTATGCATCTTAAGAAGGGGTCAAATTAAAAAAAAAATATATCATGTCTCTTATTTGTTCCTCAGATACCTTTGTCAAATATAACATTCTTTTTATAAAAAATACCTCTAGGTGGCCCAGGTCTGAGTTCTGTGCAAGATGTGAGTTTTGGGACTGTTGTGATTCATTCTCCTGATCGTTTAAGTTAACAATTGTGCTTCCCTGATCGTCAGCCATATGATGTTGGCCGAGATTTCTCTGATAAACCTGGAAAGACAGTTTCAGAATTCGTCATCCTTATATCTAGTAAATATTAACTATCGGATGGGTGAGTGAAGGTTCATTTTAATACGGAAGGGAATGCAATCAACAGAAACCATAAGCAAAACTATATGAATAGGATAGATCATGAGTTAATGTTAGTAAATAAAGAGATTCATTGTACGAATATATTGGAAATGTCTACTTGACTATTTTACAAAATGAGAGCAAGATACTTACTGACTGCTTTGCGGCAAGCAGAGCACCATATAATGAAGCTAATGTTTTTGAAAATATACACAAAATATATCCAATTTACCAAAGAAGACTATACAATACCAAGTGAGGACTGTGTGAAAATCTTTGTGGTATATATTGACTCTCAACAAAATATTAGCAACTACATATCTATGATCTGTCCAAATGTGTCAAGAAAATTAAACATCTTCCAACATCTTAACTCATCATGACCATTAATTCTGAGGCAAACAAATTCTAGCAAAATGGAAAGCAGTATACAGTATAGGGCACTAAAATTCGTGTTCAATCATTTTAATACCTCACCATACAATTTATTGAGACAGGAAATTTCCTACTCTATATATGATATGGGACAAGTTAAAAATATAAAATCCTTTGCAAGAAAACAA